AGCTGCTGCTGAGGGCGGATACGGTTTGCTGCTGCTGCTGCTGCTGCTGCTGCTGCTGCTGCTATCTAGCGAAACCCAGGAGCTGCTAAGTGTTGAATTGATGCATTTAAAAGAAGTTTTTGCTTTGTGTGTAGTAGGCATGTTGCTGCTGCTGTTGGCCCAGCTGGTTGTGGCATTGGGGGGCAGCAGCAGCAGCAGCAGGAGCAGCAGCAGCAGCAGCAGCAGCAGCCCCGATGAAGTCTTGTGCCGTTGCTGCTGCTGCTGCTGCTACACGGAGTGTACGTACACCTCGAGGGACTGGTTCGATTTTTAGCGCTTTTTGGCCTCGTCTGTTGGCGTTGCTGCTGCTATTGCTGCTGCCGTTGCTGCTGCTGCTGCAGTTGCTGTTGCTGCTGTCTGTGGCTGCGGGGTCCTTGAGCGGGGCCCCTTCCTCTTCACTAATTTGCAGAAATAAATAAAGTGGTGGAAAGCAGCTTCGAAAATGAGTCACATGCTGGTAAGCTCCAGGTGTACGTACACCTCACGCCCCTGCTGCTGCTGCTGCTGCTGCTGCTGCTGCTGCTGCTGCTGCTGCAGCACTTGTCTCTTGTCTCCTTTCGCCCCCTCCACCGTGCCCCACGAGCTGAGCCTTGTGTCTCACCAGCCAGTGCTGCAGCAGCTGCTGCGGCTCGTGCTGCTGCACTTTGGCGCTGGTGCAGCAGCAGCAGCAGCAGCAGCAGCAGAGCAGCTCACAGAGCTGGAGCAGCAGCAGCAGCAGCTGCTGCTGCTACTGCTGCATTCCTGCGGACGCGAGGCTGCCGCAGCTGCTCCTGGTTATCTACAGCTGCCCTGGCGGCCGCTGCTGCTGCTGCAGTCGCCGCTGCTGCAGCTGCTGCTGCTGCTGCTGCTGCTGTTTGCTGCTGCAGCACGCGCCCATTATCCTGCTGAAGGAGGGAGCAGACACCTCGCAAGGCCGCAGCCAAATCATCAGCAACATAAATGCCTGCCAGGTTATCGTGGACATCGTCAGGTCCACTCTAGGTCTGCTGCTGCTGCTGCTGCTGCTGCTGCTGCTGCTGCTGTGGCTGCTACGGTTGCTGCTGCTGCTGCAGCAGCAGCTCTGTGTCTGCGCGCTGCAGCCGGCGCCTGCGGGCGAGTGCCGGCGCGGCAGCGGCGCCTGCTGCCGCGCTCCTTCCTCGCCGCCGCTGCTGCTGCAGCTGCTGCTGCAGCCGCTGCTGCTGCTGCTGCTGCTGCTGCTGCTGCTGCAGGGCCGCGGGGCATGGACAAACTGATAGAGGGGGAACACGGAGTGGCCACTGTCACCAACGACGGCGCCACAGTGCTGAAGCTGCTGCAGGTCAAACACCCCGCAGCAGCACTGTTGGTGGACATTGCCCAGAGCCAGGACCTCGAGGTTAGGGTTTAGGGTTTAGGGTTTAGGGTTTAGGGTTTGGGGTTTGGGGTTTGGGGTTTGGGGTTCGGCGGGTGGGGGAAGCGGAAGGCGTAGCGGGCTGCG